CCCCACTGAGCAAGGAACCTGATGTGGGACAGGATCCCAGGACCCTGGGATCATGATCTGAGTTAAGTTAAGGCAGACCCTTAACTGACTGAGTCACCCAGACATCCCAAAAAGAAGAATCTTGAAAGCAGCAATGTGAGAAGATACAAATACAGGGAACAAAGATAAGGATGACAGCATATAATTTATCAGAATTATGCAAACAGGAAGACAAAGGAGCAATGTCTCTTAAGTACTGAAAGGAAAGAAAAAATAAGTTTTTTTTTTTAATTGATTTGACAGAGAGAGATCACAAGTAGACAGAGAGAGAGAGAGAGAGAGAGAGGGAAGCAGGCTCCCTGCTGAGCAGAGAGCCTGATGTGGGATTCGATCCCAGGACCCTGAGATCATGACCTGAGCCGAAGGCAGTGGCTTAACCCACTGAGCCACCCAAGTGCCCCGAAAAAATAAGTTTTAAACTAGAATTCTATACCCAGCAAAAATACCTTGTAAAAGACAAAGGTGAGATAAAAAACTTTTCAGACATAAATATGCTAAAAGAATTTATATACAGTAGACCCGCACTAAAATAGTAGCATATAAGAAGTCCTTCACATAAAGGGAAAATTATGTCAAATGAGTTAATGCTCTACACCAAGCAATAAAGAGAACAAGAAATTGAAATTGCAGAAGGTAGAGCACTTCCAAACTCACTTGATGAGGTCATCATTACCCTGACACCAAAACCAGACAAAGTCATTAAAAGAATAGAAAACTATATTGACAGAAAGATCAATGACCACCAGGGGACTTAGGTTGGAGGCAGAGATTGCCAAATGACATGAGGAATATTGGAGAGTTATGGAAATGCTCTGATCTCAAATGTGTTGATACACTTATGAGTGTACATATCTGCCAAAACCTATCAAATTATAAGTTAAATGGATACAGTTTATTATACTTAAATTGTACCTCAATATTCTGATTAAAACAAAACAAAATAAACGAAAACAGCATATCTGGCAGATACTATGGTTTGGCTCACTTCATAACCAATACAATCACCTTCTAGAATGTCTTCCTATACTGTAGAGGCCAGAAAGCTAAAACCACATTTCCCATTTTCCCTCATTGTTTACATATGTGACTGATTCAGTAACCACAGATACACTCACTCAAGGCTTTACTTAGGAACAGAATTTAGTAGAAAAAGGGGCCAGAGAACAAATCATCAATTTTGCCGGAGAGAACCAAAGATAGCATTTCTAGAGAGCCAGCCACTTTCTGATTGTGGCAGAGGTTCCTTGGAGGCCATTTCTGCAGAGAAGTTCTGCAAGTTGTCTCTAAAAACATGCCTAGAGTCTATATTTCTCATGTATAAACTACATGTTCTCAATAACAATTCCTTCATTCTTAAACTGAAAAAAAAAAAAAGAAAAACCCAGAACTTTCAATGGATACAGAATTATAAATCAGTCACCGCTCAACATCAGCTAGTTTAAAACATCTATCTAGATCCACAGTCCTTCCATTCCTCTGTTACCAGCGCCCCCACTCTGATTCATTCCATGTTTTATAGCTCAGTTCCAATGTAGGTATCATGGATTTGTACTAAAAAGTTTTATCATTGGTCTAGAATTAAGAGAGGACTTCTAACCTATTTCCTACTAGAATTTCCAAGATCATCTTTGTCCGAACAATTGAAATGCAATCTTTTTGTGTAAAGATCTCCCAATGCCAAAGCAACAGGACAATGGCTTTAAGCAAGCTTCAAGATGAACTTGCTTCTCCTCTAACCCTCTGAGCCTCCAACTCTTTGACTGACCCATCCTCTCCTGATGGAGCATCTCAGGGCAGAGGAGCTTTGTTTTCTAAAGTAATTTCTTTCCCTTGACTATTTCACTGCTTTCATCTTTACATAGAAGTTTGGCTGGGAATCAAAGTTGTCAGGGAAAAAAAGCTCAGCATTTTTGTCAATTCTTCTGCTGTCACCCATTGAACTCTGAGAGCTTCCCCTCAGTGAAGATAAGTGAATTCCCTTGGTGCCACCCATCTCTGGCTCTGGTGGCAATGATGGCAGGGAAATAAGGGAGCTACAAAATGGTCTCGTGCTCTCCCTATCCCATCTTACTGCCTCCATAGGCCTATTTCTGTCCCTATCTACCACATTTTCTGGCCCTCTCTAGTTCTCTCTCTCTCTCCTTAAAAAAAAAAAAAAAAAAAAGTTGTATTGCACAGATGATGCATACATCTTGATTTTTCTCACTCATCTAAATTTAAACTAAATCAAGTGGTTTCATGTGACTGTTTAAAACATCACAGATGTTAAGGAAATTACCAACATCAGCGTCCTTTCCTCCCTAAAAATTATGTTTCACCATGTGCCAAAACCCAGCAGAGGGCATCCTTCCATTTCAGATGAATGAATACTGCAGGAAGAAGGCTCTATGATTCCAGCAATGTCTTCCATTTACAAATGTGCCCTGGAATTTAAAATCAAGACACTTTTGTGGTAGGAGGAGAAACTGTTGTAGAAGTTGTTTTCTGGAGTGCTTACCTCCATTTCAAATTATAGATTTTGAAAAATTCTCCATTTATAAGGAAAAAGAAAGAGGAAAACAAAATCTCTGCCTCTGGTCTCTTTCCAGATTTGGGGCATTACCTTCAAATGGCAGAATCAACAAGGTAACTAACATCTGTGCGATCTTTCCTTCCCTAGGCCACTGTGTGCTAATAAAGTAATCACAGAAAAAGCAGCTGGGAAAAAACCCGCACCCTGTTTCTTTTGTCCATTGCCCTCTGCCTCTAGGCATCAAATGCAAAGAAAAATAGCATCACTGCCTGTTAGATTGCCTTAGAAGAAGGAAGAAGGTAAGTATGGTCAAAAGCAGGGTGTCAGGTAAGGCCAACCATATTACACCTGTGTAAGGAGGCAGTCACCCACTAAATTTAACTGGGCAGTTGCACAGAAATTAAAATTCTACAATGGAAAATATCTTACATCATCAGAAGAATTTTGACAGTTAAAATCACTCTTATCAGTGATTTTCTCCCTGGGGAGTAAGTTTATCAGATTCTTTCCTGGTAGAAGAATGTCATAGGGAGAGGAGGAAAGAATGTGAGAGAAGAGTATAGCAACATTCATACACCCATTCAATATACGTTTCTGAGCACGTTGTGCCAAACCCTGTCCTAGGTATAAGACCATATCCGCAAAGTATCAAAGATTCCTTCCTTGTGCTTGCTTCAGCAGCACATATGCTAAAATTAGAACAATACAGAGAAGATTAGCATAGCCCCTGCTCAAGGATGACACACAAATCTGTGAAATGTTCCAATTAAAAAGAGGAGAGAGAGAGAGAGATCCCTTTCTTTGAGGTAATGTGCAAAAAAGCAGGGGTTTGGAGAGTCAGATCTAATTTTGAGTCCTGGTCCTGTCACTTGACCAGCTATGTGACTTGGAGCAAAATAATTAATGTTTTCTTTAGCAAAACAAGGATAGTTAGATTGTTACTATTGACTTATAACTAAGTAACAAAAGATTGTTACTATTTATTAAAAACCTACTTTGTTCCAAGCATAGGAATTGAGTACTTCTATATATTATATATGGTCAAATCCTCACAATTAGTCTGTGACAAAAGTTCTATCACCATGCTCCTTTTACAAATGAGAAAACCAAGACACAGAGAGATTTATAAATTACCCAGAATCACATAGAAGTATCAGAGCAGGAATTTGAAACAAGGCCAATCTTGCCTCTCAACGAGTAGAGCAGAGAAGTGTTCTCTAAGGCTGTCCTGGGGATTAGATGAGATGAATGTATAAAGCTGAGAACACAGTATAGTAACGTTATTACTACTATTATTATTAATTTGCCATTGTTGCGGCTTTCTGGGACCTAAGGGTACATGTGGAAATATAACGAAAGAGGCTCAATGCTTCAAATCTAAATTCCTCCTCTTCAAAATGTAGTCTGTGTCCAACTCAAGTTAAAAGTAAAATTGCAGAAGGCATTGCTAGTGAATCATGGCTTCTCCCCATTTATCTTTCCATCAGATGACAGGCTGCCTCTAACAGCGATGGCTCTAGGCAGGATATCAGAAGAACAGTTTCCCTGTAACAAAACATGAGCATTTCCTGCTCTGGGTTTTTTCTAACCATCTCTGAAAGAGGAAGGTTAAGACCAAATGCAAAACAAAGCCAAGCTCCAAATATCCATCTGCCATTTGAAGGCAGCTCTTTTTTCTCTGATAAGTGATCTGGGGGAGTCAGTCCCACCCCCTCAACCTCTGGCGTCCCTTGGCTCTTTGTTCTTACCCTTTCTAAAGTGCATTCTCCAGAGCCCTCTTCTTGGGCTTCTTAGTGAGGGAGCCTGTTCATAGATCAGTGGGGCTGAATTACGCTAACCGTATTATTCAAAAAGAAATGAGGCAGTCATGTTTCCTTGATGCTCAGGAGTTTGCTCTGTTCTGCTACGGCAAGCCTAAACTTGGATCTCACACTGTCAAATTACCAAAATCCAGAATAATTTTAAACAACAAGAAAATAAAATTCTGGTTCCAGGCCTCATTTCTTACTGATTTTGTTTTGGGACTGCCATCTTAGTTTCATTAGGTAGGAAACTGAGTGTTTGATAATGGGGTGTAAGAGAATTCATAAATGTGTATCTTATAAATATTCCCTTTTTCTCATGTGCACTAAAAAATAGTTTGTATCTCACACGCTAAGCTTCATAATGCAAAACTCAAGTCAACTGAACAAGTGAAAAATGTGTTCCTATTAAAAAAGGCAATTTCATGCTGATTTTATCTCACCAGGCTTCTGTAGGGATGAACACTGTTAGCAACACATCATTTGGGATAGAAATAAGTGCTTCAATCCCTTTGGTCTGAACTCCAAAAAAATAGCAGATGTCCTGGGAGTTATGTTGCAAGTCACCTTGTCATAGGCTTACAGATTTCTAACAACCCTGGCTGGGTTCAATAAAAAAAGAAGATTTTCCTTAGCAGAGTACTTACCCCAAGATAATGGCCATCAATGAACACGACAGGGAGGGAAGGGGCTTCTGAAACACGTCGGCATCGCTCATCTAACTCTTTTCCATAGTCACCATTCAGAGCTATGTTTTTCTCTTCAAATTTTACTCGATGGTTTTGGAAGATCTTTCTAACCAGTTCGCATCTTTCAAAGGTTGTCCGTACCACACGAAGGCAAGTGGTATAAATCACTACGCGGTCAAATTCTAGGTCAATTGATGGTTGCTGAAGGAAGAACATGGTAGCGTAAATATTTTCATTGACTTTCTTCTATCTTATTAAGACAATTAACATTTTGACACATAGAAGACACTTGTCTTCTACATTAAAGGCATGCAATAGAAGTTGAAGTGCCATATTTATCAATCCTAAGACATGCTTTTGTTAGAAAATCTGTACTTGAGAAAGGGAGAACAATCAACATAATTTAAATGACATAATTTACTTGACAGTGTTTTTTCTGTTCTCAGTGGCATATCAAATAATGGCATATCTTAAAACCAATGATGTCTCACATGGCATGCCATGTGGTAAAATAAGGAATAGTTGAATTATCTTTCTCATGTTCCCTAGACAGGGTTCAGTTACCAGATTGGCCTCTTAAACCCAAGTGCAATACGTAACAGAACAGTCAGGTTAGCATTTAACCGTTTAAAAATCCTTCACCTTATCCTTGGGCAACCATCTTCTGGGAATAAGAGGATGGGTATCTTCTTTCAGCAGCACAGCATATGTGCCTGCACTCTGTCGAGTGACAGGGCTCTGACACGCAGTGAGAAGGCGATCCAAAGATTGAATGACTCAGAGGGAGTGCAGAGAAACCAACACCCTAGTGGGCAGTGGGTCAGAGCCAGGCATGGAATGGAAACAACAAAACGGGTACACTGCAACAGATGCAAACAGCTCTCAAAACCAAGGAGACGACTCCCTACGTGTGAATCTTGCTTTCTACATTTCCTGCTACATCAGAAATCAGTGACTAAGTTCCTGGGATGATCAGCCCAGCACTGCTAGGCCCTGACAACATTAGGGAAAAGCCTCTTCTTCTTTACCACAGTCTTCCTTGAAGGAGACTAAAGGGAATACAACTGTACCTTGAGTCCAAGGGATATGTGGGTTTTCATGGGGCTACAGTTGTTGCAACACAACCACACAACTTAGAAACCCCTCTGAAGTCAAAATTTTGACTGGAAACCACTCCAGATAGCTAAATACTAGAATCAGAAGAAAGGATACTAAACTTCATCACTCTGTAGTCAAAGAAATCAGCCCATTACATGCAAATATACAGAGTCCTGAGAAGGTCTTAAATCATAAAGATGGCAATGCAGTGGTCTCCACCTCACCAAGGAAGAGGTCATTTTTTTTTTCTTGATAATAAAATTTACTTCTTCCCTCAATAGAGTTCAGAGGCTAAGCTAAAAACCCAGAGACCTGGAGGAGCCAAACAAGTGTCATCAACATTGGGCCAGGCCAGGAGTAAAAGAGTTATCAGTGAGATGTAGAAAGTCAGCTGGGAGAGAAAAATGTTACTCAGCTTCCCACAAGATTCGGGCTGGCAGGCATGTTACTCAATATTGTCAGATATGATGATTTTATTTTAGTTTTTTATTTTACTTTTTTAAGACATAATTATTCTGAATATAAGCTTGAAATGTGGATTTTTATGGAAAATTTTCTGCTTTCTCAATGGCAGCACCTCATTAAAAATGTATTGAGACCATGTGGACCAATATATTTGAAGGCCGAATTTGGCCTGACACCATGAATTAACACCAGGGTGGAGAAAGCATCAGATATAATGGGACTCTGCCACTGGCTATCTGTGTATTTGGGGGAAAAGAGTGAACTAGTAAGCCTCAATTTTGTCATCTATAAAATGTGATCTACCTAACAGGTTTGCTGAGGAGGCTAAGTAATCGAGACTATGAAAACAACCAGTGTAGGGCTCAATATGTACGACTGTGCTCAGTTACCTAGTGTAAAAGATTACACTCCACAATGGGGAAGTTTCAAACTTAAAAACACAAACAAAAATAAATCAGTGTAATTAATGACAAGAAAGGGGGGGCTGTTATTACTATGCTCTAGATTAAAAAGCATTGATCTTTGTTCAGGGCGCCTGGGTGGCTCAGTCAGTTAAGGATCTGCCTTCAGCTTGGGTCATGATCTCAGAGTCCTGGGATCGAGAGTCGTATCGGGCTTCCTGCTCGGTGGGGGGTCTGCTTCTCCCTCTCCCTCTGTCTCTTCTCCTGCTCATGCTCTGTGTGAGTGTGTGTGTGTGTGTGTGTGTGTGTCTCAAATAAATAAATAAAATCTTAAATTAAAAAAAAAAAAAGCATTGATCTTCAGAGAAAGTAACCAAATGCCCAAACCTATGCTCATCTTTAGGTTCATGGTTATAAGCAAGTAGGAAATCAACAAACTCACTACAAATACTGCAGGTTTTGGAAGTGCACTCTAGTTCTCTTTTCTCTGATGCTATTATGTGAGTAAGTATGCATTGTTCCTCTGGTTGTATAATACTATAACTGCATTTGGTTCTATCAAAATGTAACACTTCTTTCAATAACTACACTTACTTTTGAAATAGTTGATAAGACAAATTTCCCCCGTGAATAGAGGTGGGAAAGTTTAAGATCAGACCAGTCTGCTGCCACATTAACCAACTCCTATGGGATTATCTCTGCTCACACAACAAATGCTAGGTAACACTTTGCTGTGAGTCTCTAAGAGATACACATTTAAAAAACAGTAACAAGATGGACCCCTATCAGGTAGCCATGTTGGATGCTGTTTAATACAAAGGGCAACAAAAATATTCCTTTACCTCCTGTTAAGGATGAACTTTGCCTGGAATCAGTGAATTTCCAAGATCGCTGGATATTAGAATAAACTGGGAAGGTTTTGTTTTAGGGGGTTTTAAGCTGGGGAGTTTATAAAAATTCCCCATACCCAGGCCAAGTACATAACAATTAAACCAGAATCACCAGGAATGAAATCTCAGAATTGTTTGTTGTTGTTTTTTTTAAGCTCCTAAGGTGATTTCAGTCTACAACCAAATTCTAGAGCTAGTCACATACGAGTTGGAAATGCAGAATGACAAGCTAGATCTACTGAATAAGAATCTGCATTTTTAACAAGTTCTCTGGGGAATTTGGATGAATGAATGAATGACAACCTAGATCTACTGAATAAGAATCTGCATTTTTAACAAGTTCTCTGGGGAATTTGGATGCACATTACATTTTAAGGCACCCTACTGTAATCACATTGACAGCTTGACTGAAAGAGAAACTGGGATTATGTCCCTTTAAATAACTGTTAGTCATTTATTCAGTTACTAGAATCATTTATTTGCTATACATGGTGACAGGTAGTAGATATATAATTGTGAGCAAACAATATCATTTGCTTACAACCTGAAGCCCATAGATTTGTTTTTTTTTTTTTTAAGTTACATAAATAAATATAGATTCACAAACTGTTAAGTACTGGGAAAGAAATGCACAAGTTGTTAGGAGAGACTATTGAAGGTGTATGCTTTTCTTGTTTCAGAGGTTGAGAAAGTGTTTTCTGGTAAATGAGCTCTGCTTTAAAGGACAGGAAGGAGTTAGAGATATTAGGTAAGAAAGCATGGGGAGGAGTATTATAGATAAGTGCAAAGATCTTGAGATGGGAGGGAGATGGCATGTTTGAGACTCTGGTTGAAAGGCTTTTGCCAAAACACAGAGAAAGAGAACTACAGTAGTACTAAATGAATCTGGACAGGTATGCAGGATAGATAACATGTTGTACTTTTATAACCACTTTAAAGATCCATGGGCTTTAACCTCAGAGTAATGGGAAATTCCTGAAGGTTTTTAAGGAGGAAGGGAAGAATTTACATTAAAAAAAAAAAAAGTAAGTGAAATATGACCAGTGTAGATAGTTGCACAGAATGTGCACTGCACAAGCCTCAGGGATGTCATTATTAGCATGGTCTAAATAAATTATTCCCTCAGGGTTGTGTAGCCCACAACTTGAGGAATCATATTCAGTCTTATTCCCAACTCTGTTGGTCTGGGAACTGAAATTCAACACAGGATAAAATCAAGGTAGAAAATTTGGTTATCTATTAGAATAAGCTATTATGTAAAATGTTCTAAAGAAGATCTCATTGAACAATTTTTTGGTTTGATTTGGAAGTAGATCATCCTAGAGGTTGTAGGTTGAATGATTTCTCAAGGTCTTTTCCAGTTTTATAATATGAATTTAAATGATATTGTCTTTGGGAAAAAAAAAATCCTCTCCTACATTCGTTTCATTTTCTTTCCCTCAACAGATTTGTCAAAGCATCTGGCCAGAAATCTAAAAATAGCCACTCAATGGTTAGCTGTCCTTCTTCTCCCTGCCTAGGGTTACCATGGGAATAGCGTAATGAAGGATGGATGCTTCTGAGACAGTGCTGAGAAGCCATTGGGATTTGCAGCCTGCTTGTTTTGAGAGAGCCGACCTAGATAATAATAAAGGTAGGCCATTTCTTCCTTTCCACTGATTAAAAAGATGAATCTTAGGAGTGGCCTGAAGCCTCACAAGAGCCTGCAGCAAAAGTAGATGTGTTGGCAAGAGATGGAAATTGCTGGGAACAAGACAAAGAGGTTACCAAATAGCCAATGTATGTCCTCAGCCTGCAACTGTTCTGCAAGTGGCACTGTGAAATGGTCATACCTCGTCATCTTGGGTCAATTCTGGAGTCCCTACACTCACAGTAACTGCCACTGAATTCAGGCCAAGAATCAGTCCCCTCTGCTCCCTGACAGAGGATCAGCTTGGAGCAGACCCAGCTCCTAAGGCTGGAGCAAATCCAGTGGGTTATTTCCACTTGACCCTTTGCCTGTCCAGCCTGGCACTGGTTTGAAAAGGTGTCCTGAAATAGGGGCCTCCAGACACCTCCAGGAATGCACTTCTTAAACAAAAATTAAAAATAAAATGGGAAGTCACACCCCAAAATTGCTAGAATTAGTACAGCAATTCAGTAATGTGGCAGGATACAAAATCAGTGCACAGAAATCAGTTGCTTTTCTATACACTAACAATGTAATTATAGAAAGAGAAATTAAGAAATCCATTTCATTCACAAAAGCAACAAAAATCATAAGATACCAAGGAATAAACCTAACTAAAGAGGTAAAGGATCTATACTCTAGAAACTATAAAACACTTGTGAAAGAAACTGAGGAAGA